TGTCTGGCAAGTGAAGGACCCCTATAGCAAAATCCTCTCCAAAAAAAAAAGTAAATAAACTAGGGAAAGCTAGAGGACTGCCTATCTCTGACGTGCAAGACACACCCCCTACAACAAGCCTTTGTTCTTTTCCACTCTGGCTGCTGAGAACGCTCTGGGGTACTCGGGTTTTGTTTTCAAAGCAAAGAGGCATCTTCCACCCTATGCTAGAGATGTTTCTGAAGAGTGCAGAAAGTAAGACCCGAACAATGATGCGAGCCATGCTTTCACCTGTGTGGCAAGCAGGGTCAGGCCAGCCCCACGGGGCAGAGGTAAGCATGGTGCAGGAAGAGCCGGATGGTAAACCACGGTTCAAATCCTCGCTCGGGGTCATGGCGAACATGCTGGGTATGTGCGCACGTGCCGAGGTCCCAGATGGGACGGAAGAATGGAGGGCAAGAAAGGAGTCCGCAGCATAACCAGGTTCCCTGACGTTGGAAGGCTGGAACGGGAAAAGTGGCATGGCCACGCTCCATTGGGGGACTCTCTCTCTTGCATGCCTCATATGGATATAGGAAAATAACGTTTCCCAAGCTCCCTGTAGCTTTTCTGTGACTGCCGTGACAGATCTGTTGACAGTTCCACAGCAGTGACCAGGACCTCCCTGCCAGCACCTTGGTTCCATTCCATCCCACATGCTGTGCCCCTGAGCAGCGGCAGCCACCAGGCAGAGATCATGCTCCAGGAAGCCTCCTACTTCTGCTCTTTTCTCTTCCCACAACTCTGACAGAGTGTGTGCCTGAGAGATACAGAGACAGAGACAAGCACCTTCTACGGCATCTGCTCACGCCACAGTCTCCATGCTCTGGCCTGCAACTGGAGGACTCTGGGCACTCACCCTGGCGTCCAGTGTCCCTCGAGCTGGCCCAGCGGGGGTTCCAACCACCACCGTGGCAGAGTGGAGTCAGCTTCTCTTGGGCAGCACATGGCTGCTGCAATTGGGAACAGGCCCTGTTTTTGCAGCAAATCTTGAGGAGGCTTTAAAAGCCCTAAACTCCTAAGAAACCAGGTAGCGAACCAGAAGCTCATGTGATGGTTACGTCACTGGACTCCCATGTAGTCAATGGCGGTTCGAGCCCCGGACCGGGCAGCTTAAAACTCATGCCGGGTGCATGTGCATGCATGCCCAAAATCCCAAGGGGAGTTTGGGAGAGAAGAGATTGCAGCATGGCCAGCCCTCCTGGGGGGTGATTTCTCGCCTTCTGTCTCTCTGTCTCCTCCGTGTCTCTGGCAAGCGCACGTACCCTATAGCAAAACTCTCTCTCAAAGAAAAAAAAATAGAAGCCAACTATAACATATCTCTCCTATGGAGATCAATTCCAGCCCGTAGGTTATCACTGATATTTTCAATACATAGGGCTGCTTGTTGAGATCATGTTCTCTTTAAAAATATTTCTTTTTATGTAATGAATAAACAAAAATGTGATGCCTAGGAAAGGAGAATAATTCTCTCAGGCGTGTATCCATTTGTTTCCAGAGAATGGAAGTCACTGGAAATGGGAGTTCTTAAGACTCTGGCTGGTGAGGGCGGGCATAGCAAAGGGACCTCACCAATGTGTGTGGGATGAGTCTACATCTATATGGGTTGAATCATGTCCCCCAAAATAGGCACACCCCTAGGACTCAGGAATGTGAGCTTATTTGGAAACAAGGTCTTTACAGGCTAGCTGGGTCATACCATACACTCTTTAGGGTCCATTCAAACCCAGTTGGACGGCTGTTCTTGTAAAAGAAGGACATTTTGACACAAAGACACACAGAGAGGGCAGGATGACCCCAAACCAGCTGAAGACAGAAGCCCACAGCAGACCCTGTCTCCAGAGCCCCCAGAAAGAGTGGACCCTGCCAACTGATCTAGAACCCTCGGCTCCCTAACTTGGCAAGGATGCATTTTGGTTGTACAGGTCACCCCGTGTGTGCGTGTGTGTGACCCTGTTATGGCAGCCTTCGTAATACACACAGAGTCCACAAAGGAGGCCATCTACGTCCCAATCCCGGTGTCACAGTCTCCTGGGAATTGGCTCAGGGACTGGGTGCTCTGAGGATGCGTGCCCTCCCTGGGAAATCACAACCGCATTAAACGGGAGAACAACCTAGTTGCCTTAGACCTACGCGGCGTGTGCTCACTCCATAGTCTCTTGACATCGGACGCATGCATTTGCACCCAGCAGGAAACTGGGGCCTAGAGGCTTGGTCATCCGACATGATCATTTCTCCTGAACCCACAGTTTCCCTGCTCCCCCGCCTTGGGCTGCACGACATATACACCCCATGTTGCACCGTCTGGAACGTTGACATGTCTATTCCTCCCCGAAAGGTCCTATCCTCACCCTTCATCCAGTACATGCAACGAAACAGAAACAGGTACGAAAAAGTTCTTTCTGAGCATGGAAAAAGAAAAAAAGAGGCCAAAAGACAGATGAGACCTAAGAAGGCGAAACCGACGGGGCATTTTAAAAATGACTGCTTCCTTGTCCTGGCTTTCGTTTGCCACCAGCCTTTCCGCAGGGCTTTGCTATGGGACAGGGACCAGCTAAGGGCAATGCTCACGGAGGTGCAGAGGCAGAGCAGTCCTAGTGCGCATGCGCCGCAGGAACCTGACCCACAAGGAGTTGGGCGGGCGACCCTGAAACAGAAGCCTGCCCGGCGTTCGAGGCTGCTGATCTGGGTTCGGACGAGCCCACCTGGGGACTCCATCACCAAGGCCATTTAGCTGCCACCTAGAGGCTCGTAGTAACGCACTGGAGCGGGGGGGAGGGGAGCGGAGATCGAAACAGGGAAACGAATCGCGCCCGCCCGCGCGGAGTCCGCCTCTGCAGCAGCGGCCAAAAAACAAAGAAACAAACAAACAAACGAAACCTCAACTCGCGCGTGCGCAGAACGGCGCGAGGAGACACCGCCCCCACCTCTTCCCGACCCTCGGGTGCGCGGGCGAGGAGGCGCGCAGTGCGCGTGCGCAGAGCGGCCCCAGGCGTGCGGGGAGGGCCGGGAGCGCGCGTGCGCGGGGCGGCTGTGCGCGCGCACCTCCTCCC